TTTGAAATGAAGCCTTTTTTTTAGCTCTCCTTTGCAATATAAGCTGTTTTGTAATTTCCGAAAGAAACTACATATTAATTGTTAATTCCAAAATTTTTTAGCAAGATAGATTTCTAATTAACCTTTAAATTTTTAGATGCAAATCCAATGCTCAGAAATGGTGAGACAGGAGACTGGATCGGAACTTTTGAAGGACACAAGGGTGCAGTTTGGAGCTGTTGCCTTGATACCAATGCTTTACGTGCTGCTACTGGATCAGCTGATTTTTCAGCGTATGTCACCCTTGTGCTCTAGAAACTGTCAGTTCATGAGAAAACTAAAGAGAGCTTCAATTTAGAATGAACATTTTTTAATTGTGCACATTGAAGCTATTGAATCCTATAATCTTGTGTTTGTATCTTTGCATGTGCTTTCTGCTTTAGAAAGTTTTTTCATATCATGCTTCTAGTAGAGCGTGTAATAGTAGTTTTTGTTTTTGATGTATCATATGCCCGTGTTACGTTTTCTACGTACAATTTCACCTCCATTTGTTGTGAGTAATTTAGACATGATTTACTTTCTTGAATGGTAATCATGCTAGCTTTGATTATTTTGAAGTACCTCATATGTCAAAAGGCCTATGTATCTGAGAATTGATTATCTAATTAACAAACAGAACTTTTTTAAGGAATATGAAATGATATCATATCGTCTGATGCAGCTCTTCTTACTTACTGACCAAATTTTCCATCAGCATTTTTCAAAGTAATATGTTAAAACTCATTGACATATACACATGATTTGATGCTTTTGTGCTTATCTTTAGTTTTGCCTCTTGTGGATATCCTTGTTTCTCCAACCATAGCTTCTCTTGTTACATCACCTCATGTCAAATTTTGATCAGAAAAAACTAAATCATCTTTTACAATGGACATGTTAGCACCCATCTCTGAATCAACCAACCATTCATTTGAATCATCAAACATCATCTAGAGAAATATAATTAATGCTACACTGTATCATGGCAAGTCTTGGGTATCTGTTGTCTTCTTGGTGAGCCCAGACTATGTCACGTTCTGTTTGCTTTAGTTATATGAACACATAGCAACAAAAATATTCTATTGTACTAGCATTAGGGTGTTTCTTCCTTGCTCTAAGAATATGGTTTCAGTATGGTTTTTAAATACTTTTGTCATTTCATGTGCAAGTAAGTCTATTTTCCTGTCATTCTTATTAGATTTGTCGATATGTGATTATACTTCATCTTTTTTCAGAAAAGTATGGGATGCAATAACTGGGAATGAATTGCACTCATTTGAGCATAAGCACATAGTCCGATCATGTGCTTTCTCTGAGGTAGATGAGGATCTTTCGTGTTGTCCTCAAGTCTTTTTAAGTCCTATGCCTATTTTGCTTTTCACATTTAGTTTTGTTTGTTGTTGATCATACATTTTACTGCACTTAATCTGCCAACTGCCTTGTCATTTCTTCACTGTTATAGTATTCTGACAGCAAAGTCACCCTCTCTGTGTTTGTAACAGTATGTTTCTTTTCACCAGCTACGATCCTGTGTTGATACGATAACTCCATTGTTGCCACTTGCCATATCATAAGACATTTATACGTATAAATCTATGTTGCAACTTGCAAGATGCAGCACATTTGGTCGCTTGTAATTGTTGTAGCTGATTATGTGGATCAGGATATTGTTAAACCAAAACAAGACATCTGTTTGTCATAATGCAAACTTACAGTTAATAGCAAATCTTATTTTAGTGAGCACCATTTATGGGTTCAATTTGCAAAGCTTTGGCCCTTTTTGGCATTTATATGCAAACTCATTGGCCATTGCAAGCTTGAGTTCATAAAATGGAATTGAACTGAATCAAGTGCTTTAGGTTCTCTTGGTGGTCATTCTATTTTTGGCATGTGCATAGTGCTTCTTGGCAAATTTGGCAGTAGGTTCATTTAGATATTACCGACACATGTTCCTGTTACTTAGTCTTATGGGATTTGTCTGTTGTTCCTTGCAGGATACGCATCTTTTGCTGACTGGAGGGGTTGAGAAAATATTACGTATATTTGATTTGAACTGTCCAGATGCACCTCCAAGAGAAATTGATAAATCACCTGGCTCAATTAGAACTGTTGCTTGGCTTCACAGTGACCAGACAATATTAAGTTCGTGCACTGATATGGGAGGTGTGAGGTTTGTTTTTGTTTATTCCTTGTATATTTTAGATATTCACTTTACCTGTCAATTTTGATTTCTGTTGGTTCCTACATTTAGCCCATGTCACTGCAACATGCTTTCCCCATTTTTTTCTTGTTGCTTCTCCTCACGTGACCTATAATCCTGGACTTCCATGAAGATATTTCACACTGTCGTTTCCATTTACGACCTTCTGTAGATAATATTTCTTTTGAATTTGTTGACCGTGTCTTTTGGTCAAAAATATCACACAGGTTATGGGATGTAAAAAGTGGAAAAATTGTGCAAACACTTGAAACCAAGTCACCTGTTACCAGTGCAGAAGTTAGTCAAGATGGTCGTTACATTACCACAGCTGATGGCTCAACTGTCAAATTCTGGGATGCAAATCAGTAAGCTTATGTCATGCTATCTTATCTGCAATGCTCAAGAAATCATTTTATGATGGAAGTCATATCTTGTTACTTGTTCAGTTTTGGACTCATAAAAAGCTACAACATGTCCTGCACTGTGGAGTCAGCTTCACTCGAACCCAAGGATGGGAACAAATTCGTTGCTGGAGGAGAAGACATGTGGATTCACGTCTTTGATTTCCACACGGGTGAAGAAATCGGTCAGTTCATCTTTGTCACTGAATGATGCCAATCAAAATTCATTCTGTTTGAAAATCAATATGTTCGGTTAGTGGTCCTGATCATACATGCATGTTATTTAGAGGACTGTTTGTTTTTGGTATGCAGCTTGTAACAAAGGTCACCATGGGCCAGTTCACTGTGTTCGCTTCTCCCCTGGTGGTGAGTCGTATGCTTCCGGGTCTGAGGATGGGACTATCAGAATCTGGCAAATGAATCCGGCTGTGTCAGACGACCATGAATCTCATGGTTCAAGTGGGCCATCCGGGAAGGTAAAAGTTGGGGTCAATGAGGTTGTTCATAAGATCGACGGTTTCCACATCACCGACGATGGGCCTAGCGAATAGGATCAAGTTATCTGATGGATAAATCTACAAGAAAAGGTTTGTTATTTGGTTCTCATTCTTAGTGGCAGTGGTTGTAAGCAGATGGTTGCTTCTGTGACACCTTAATCCAGCAAATATATCCAGTTAAGCTGTCTCAGATGATCCTGTTGAAGAACTGCAATCTTTCCGTTTTAATCATTATCATCTGATTCCGATTTTGCTGTTTTCTGTGGTGGTGACTATATGGTTCTTCTCTTTATATAATCAACAGGCTTTTAGCACCACCTACCGCCATTGTTACATCTAAGAATTTAAATTATTCCTTTCAGTATTTAGTACCGTATTTTTCAATTTTTTATTTGTTTTTGTACCACTAAAACTGATGACTCATGTTGTGGAGGAAGCATAAGACATATCATTTTAGATAATACATTCTGTTATTTCATGCCGATACCGTTCGTAATTGTTTACTATTCTATTCGTCCCAGTAATTTCACACATTAACACCAATATTTTATATTATCTTTTTTGTAATATTCCTTCTTAACCATTGGAGAACTGATTGGCCGCAGTCTCAGGTAATGAGGATAGCTTGTGAACTGCCATTTAGTGCCTTCAAGATGATTCTATAAAGCATAATGATTAATGCATAGGCTAATTGGTCGAAAATGAACAATTGTTTCAGGAATTTAGGCACACAAATTTCAATTACTGGAGCATCTTGCATGAGTAATTCGTGCTGTGCAGGGATCTTCGTTCGGATCAGATGCGAACGTGAATCTTGACGAAGCGGTCCAATTGGAGGTTGCACCTCAGCTACGATAGAAGAGTGCGTGGACAGAGAGATGATGACGTAGGCGGTGATCTTTTGGAGATACACCTGCTCCCGCTAATCTTGTCGTCTCGTGGGGGAAGACGGAAGATGCCGACAAGATAGCATTACGTGTCCTAAAGTCGACCGTCGTTCCACGGTCCGTCCACGTGGCTTGACTTGGATCGTCCCAACGGGTAGAGTTGGCAACCGTTAATTTGGATCCGTTGGGCCCATGGTGTTTGGAAAATAAACGCTCGGGGAGTCCGGGCCCACGAACCAAACGTCCCTCCCCAGAACCTTCTCTTCTTTACCTGGCTCTCTCTCACAACGTGAGAGGCACACAGGCAAGGGAACGTCATGCCACCCCAACCTGGTGGGCCCACCAACTACTGCGTGAAACTGTTGGGGACTGTTTTTTCAAGGAGAATAAACATTAGGCCACGTGAGTCTGTCCACCTCGTCACGGGACTGTGAGCTCCACAAGCCAGGTTTGTGAGAGAGAGCCACGTCATAGGAGAAGGTTTTCGGGACAAAATATATGAGAGACACAACATTGTAAGAATAACGATACATATATCCTTATATAATATTTTTTTTATCAATTTAATCCATAATATATACATAAAATTTTTATTTATTACTTTTTACCACGGAGCATTTCTAAAAAGATCCAAATTTCACTTCTGGGAAATGATGGGTCGATTCCTGTCGCTTGTTCGTTCGATTCAGGAGAAGAGAAATAGATCTAATGGTTGAATTGGACTCGAACAGAGATCGAGACTTCGGTCAGAAAGAAAAGTGTCCACATAAAGGGTGATAGCAACCTGGAAAAAAAACCAGCTGTTAATCCATTGGGAAACCTTAGCTGGTATGTGCTTCCTTCATGATGTAGTTTTTGGAGATGTCAAACTAGATCATATTTCTTTTTATTTGGCCTCTCAAAATCCACGATTAAACCCTCACACACTGCCTCCTTTGTTGACCTTATTTTGCAGAGGGCATTGGCCATGCAAACTCCTCCTCATTCCCTACCCACCCCCCCCCGTAAAAGCTCTCTGCACCTTAGATGGTGACCGAAGATGATTCGTAGAAAGAAGCACCACCTCTATCTCAACGCCCTCCTATAAATAGTCGCCTTGCTCTTTTCCCACCCCCTCAGATTGACCGTCTCCGTATCTTCTTCCCTCTGCTCTCTGATAGAAAGCTATCTCCGGAGAAACAGCCTTGGAGATATGGAGAGAGTTATCTCAACAAAGGGCCTCCTTTCCCTCCCTCCCAAGCCTCAAACTCGCCCCTTTCACCCCCTCCACACCCTCCGCCGTCGTTTCCCCTCCGCCGCCGCTTGTTTTCCCTCGCCGGCCCTTCGCGCTCATGTTCCGACCTCTGCGCTCCATGACTTCAGTTCCAAGGAGAGATCTTCGATTCCCGGGCCTACTGCTGCTGCAAAGCCCGAAAAGTCGCACCTTTGCCCCGGGCTTTGGGCAGAACGGAGGAAAGTTCCCACTTTCAGGGCTGGCGCGGCGATTCCTGCTGATGGAGCCAGCTTTGTGGAGGAGGAGGATAAGCCCAAGTTCCTGGGCGTCGAGATATCCACTCTTAAGAAGATAATTCCGCTCGGGGTTATGTTCTTCTGCATTCTCTTCAATTATACGATCCTCAGGGACACGAAGGATGTGCTGGTGGTGACGGCCAAGGGGAGCAGCGCCGAGATTATACCCTTCTTGAAGACGTGGGTGAACCTGCCGATGGCCGTGGGATTCATGCTTTTGTACACCAAACTTTCCAATGTGCTGTCAAAGGAGGCTCTTTTCTACACCGTGATCCTGCCTTTCATAGCCTTCTTCGGGGCCTTTTCGTTCGTGTTGTATCCGCTGCGCGACGCCATCCATCCCACTGCCCTCGCAGACAAGCTCTTGGCAGCGCTCGGTCCAAGCTTCCTTGGCCCTGTCGCGATTTTGAGGATTTGGAGCTTCTGTCTCTTCTATGTTATGGCGGAGCTGTGGGGGAGTGTGGTGATCTCGGTCCTGTTCTGGGGGTTCGCCAATCAGGTGATACATGCTTTTTTTTCCTCCCCAGTTTTATTACTACCACCGAGCATGCTACTTTACAGGGATCTTACGATCTTCTCATACTTCTGTTGTCAGGAGTAGCTAATTAATATACTTCATCTGCTAATACTTATTAATGTCTTCTTTATATGCCATCTGAAAGTGGTTTGTCACACATTTGAGTGCATGAGTCTTCCGCCTATTAGAAACTGCTATAATCATGCTGTTGTTGACTTTGTTTCTTCCACCTATTTCACTCCAAAGTTAAGCTCGATGCTAAAAGTTGCTGGTGCTGAACAACATGTTATAGGTGCAAATTCTTGTTTTTTGGTGTTTTGAGCAAAGCTGGCCACTGCATATTTTGAACATGCTGTTTTTGCTTTCAGGTGTAATTTTGATCATTTTGGCATCCACATTTGTTAACAATCTTGAAAATAAGAAAGCAACTTCTTACGCTTTATGCCTACGTTTGATATTTCAGTTATGTATATTTCATGAGCATGTGTACTTCCTTTTCGATGATGATTTCTTCGATCAAGCTTTCTCTGAGACACTGGAATAAAACATTTGAACTTGTTGTTTTGTGCATTGGAACGGCTGAAACACATATTTTGGGTGGTAGGAAAGAAAAAAAAAAAGCTGATACTATACAGATCTTGTGCTGCTGGCCAGTATGGACCAAGCAATATGTTTGGCATAAGTCAGAATGGCAATCATTGCTTGCTTGTATAAGTATGACCTAATTAAAATTTTTAAGCGGCAAGACTGTCTGTTATGTTTCTTCTGCTGATTACATCTGGACTTAGTTATCTGGTCTTAAACTGGTTTTTTGTCTCAACTCTTTAGATTTTCCTTTAAGAATGTACTAGATTGTTGACATCATGGTCGTATGTTCAGTTCTTTCCTAACAATGGCATTCTGATACTGTCAATAGACATATGCCAAATCAATACATGTTTAATCTCTCTTCATGATGTAAGTGATGATTTTAGCTTCGTAAGTTATGGTTAGACATAATTTAAGTCCATGCCATTTTCAGATTACTACAGTTGAGGAAGCCAAAGAATTCTACCCATTGTTTGGACTTGGAGCTAATATTGCCCTCATCTTCTCGGGACGCACAGTAAAGTACTTCTCTAACCTGCGTAAGAATTTGGGACCAGGTGTTGATGGTTGGGCAATTTCACTGAAAGGAATGATGAGTATTGTTGTGCTTCTTGGCCTGATAATATGTGCAATCTATTGGGGGGTGAATAAATTTGTTGTGAACGACCCATCTCTTCCGAGATCAGATCGCAAAAAGAAGGTTTGCCTCATGACTAATTACCTATTTTGTTAATTTAGTCTATTTTGTTTCGGTCCAAACTAATAAAGAGTATTCATTTTGCAGGAGAAGCCAAAACTAGGTATGAATGAGAGCCTGAAGGTTCTGCTGTCCTCTAGATATGTGAGGGATCTTGCCACCTTGGTGGTTGCTTATGGTATAAGTATCAACCTGGTAGAAGTCACATGGAAATCAAAGCTCAAGGCACAGGTAACTTTTTTGCTCAGTGGTTGCATATCACCCTTGTTACAATAGGATCATGTAATTTCTTGAGATTCATTTTTGTGCGTACTTATTTGGCAGTTTCCCAGTCCAAACGAATATTCATCTTTTATGGGTGATTTCTCCACTGCTACTGGTGTTGCTACATTCACAATGATGTTGCTAGGCAGATTGATACTCCGAAAATTTGGTTGGGGGGTGGCTGCTATGATTACACCGACAGTTTTGCTTCTCACAGGAGTTGGATTCTTCTCACTAATTTTGTTTGGTGAGCCATTGACTCCTCTGCTGGGAAGTCTCGGTATGACTCCTTTGCTTGCAGCTGTCTATGTGGGGGCATTACAGAACATTTTCAGCAAGAGTGCAAAATACAGCCTGTTTGATCCCTGCAAAGAAATGGCTTATATTCCTTTGGATGAAGAGATGAAGGTCAGTCTCCTATCTCCATTATATCTCTGTATTAATAATTCAGCATATGCCATGACATCTATTTATGGACTTTAAAATGAGTGCAAGGTTTCTCATTCAATAATTGTAGGCGAAGGTTGGTTCAATCATCAATGTTCGTACTTCATTGTCACCACATGTTCGTTTGTGAACAAAGTTTGCATGAGTTGCACTTAATATATGTAGATTCACTACTGTTTTCTTACATGTCTTGTAGTCTAAATGACTTGCTCCGTTCAACTTATTTTGAATGGCTAAGTCTCTGTTTCGTTGTCGTGGAAAGATTTTAATTTTTTTGGTGTTTGAAGGTGGAGCTACCAATGATATCTATGTCCTTCATGTGAGTTACAGTGTACATATTGCAAAAACAAGCTAGTAACATAATAATAATCAGGGTTTGCCAAATCGGGTACTAGACCCGACTTAGAGATTTGTCGAGTTGGTACATGCTGGTCTGTATTGGTGTGTCGACACATGGTACACCGGTAAGTACTGGTGTTTCAAAGAGGGAGAAGAGGAAGGGACCATAGATAAGGAGAAAGGAAGAGGGAAGAAGAGGAAGTGACGGAGGAGGAAGAGGAAAAGGAAAAAGACTTACCTGAGATGTGGTGGTGTGCAGTGAGGCTGCAATCATACCCTGGTCTAGTAGCTACCTGCGTGAGAAGCATGGATCGTAGTATCGGAAGCAACGCTCATGAGCCCTACGTAGGCGGAGGCGATGCTCCCGAGCCTTGCACTCGCGTGAGAAGTGGGAATTTGCGTTTCCCACTTCTCTTACGCGACGGATCGGACTGGGATGGGTCCGCATACCAATCTACGCTTGGACCGGTACGTGCCTCCTGTTTCGCACCAATCCGAGTGAAATGGTGATCCCTGATAATAATCATCTTAGGTTAAAAATTGAAGCTGATTAAGCTCTTAGTTTAATTCACTTATGTATTTAAGCACCCTAGAACATGCATCACATGTGCCCATGCCCATGATTTACATGCCTTATTCAGACTCCGTAATTTGTTTGTGAATTTGATTTTTATTCCCCAACTCTGTCGCATTCCTTATCATGAATACTCCCATATATGAATCCCTACATCCATTATGAAGTAAAACAGCAGTGTCTTAATAATACCTATTATTTATTGGTGAAGATTTCACCTAAATGCTTTTGTTACCTAAGCAACTTATTATACTAATGATGCTACTGCACAATTAAAATAAAAAAGCTCCTTGTCAAGTCCTTAGAGCATGTTGCTGCTGTATTACTATGTTGTAAAAAGACTAAAAAAGCCACTTTTCCTTTTCTGCACAGATAATTGATTAAATAAGACGACATTGTTAAGAAGAAGATAACAAAACTATTCAAGAATGCTGTAATGATTTATTTTAATGTTTGTTTACCATCCTAACCTTTAGTTGTGGTAAGTTAGGTTGTTTATGTCTTCCATCAACTATAAATAACAGCTCTTGTTCCTATTTGGAAAGTTTCTGTATCGCGATTACTAATGCAATTATTTTAGCGCTTATTTTGTTCCTCTAATCAAATAGGTTAAAGGGAAGGCAGCCATCGATGTTGTCTGCAACCCCCTGGGAAAATCAGGAGGTGCCCTGATCCAGCAGTTCATGATTTTGACATTTGGGTCTCTAGCGAACTCGACTCCCTACCTCGGAGGAATACTCCTGGTGATCGTTCTTGCATGGTTAGGTGCTGCAAGATCTTTGGATTCACAATTCTCTCCTTTGGCTAAGCAGGAGCTTGAGAAGGAGAAAATGCTGAAAGAAAAGGTGAAAGAGCATTTGATGGAAGCAACAAAGGAGGACACTGATGGATCTAAAGGGAATGGGTCAGTTCATGAATCGGTTTCAAGTGACTACTCATCGAACGGATCACCTTCGAAACAAGAATTAGCTCCTGAATCTGAGGGTTCATCAGAAACCAGCAGCAGCGAGCAAGGCTCCCCAGTCAGGTAGTACCCAGAAAGGAAATCCGGATGGCGAAAACAGCTGGTAATTTATCCTTGTGTCAGTTAGGAATAACATGAGAAGAACAGGTGAGAAGGCAACACTGTTTATCTGCTTTGGTAGAGAACACAATGATCAATTTTTAATATGTTCTCCTGTTATTTGAGTATTTGTTGGCACTTGTCATCTCAAGAGGAACTGTGTGTCATTTTGTAGTGTCTTCTGATAAAATGCATTGTTCTCTCTTTTGCTGTACCATGGTGTGGAACTGGTACTTGTTTGGTTCTTACTCTTGCATAACTTCTTTACATACATACATTTATATCAAGGAAGACCAAGTTTTGCATGTTCTATTTTCCTAATGCCTCAAACGCACCACACACATGCACAATCGTATATATAATTACAAGGTTTTACTTTGTGATTGAAAAGTAGCAAAACTGCAGGAACAGGGGATGATCCATCCATGGTGTGTGTGCTTTAATATTGGATATATAAATTGGCCAATATATATTTGTCTTTAAATGACACATACAATGCAATTAATACCTAATTAAGTTGTCGGAACACAGCATTGGAACTAATAAAACTAATTAAATAGCGGTATTGGTACGGATATCATCACCGATTAGGCCTTACGCGAAGCCGCCCGACTCCCTCATCAGAGCCGTTCATTTATGTGGCCCCGTCTTCCCTTGGTGGGGTCCAAAAAAACATAAGGGAAATGAATGAATTGGTTCGCCGATCGTGTCGAACACGAGCGTGAGCAGGGAGATGCAACCGAGCGCAAGCGGCGAGTCGTCGGAGGCGGCGGTTCTCGCCGCCCTGACCTCGAGGGGATGGCGAATCAAGGAGGACGACGAGGAGATCCGAGATCTGATTCGTAGCCGCGAGACCGCAGAAGCCGTGGCATCGGAGCTACTGAATATGGATTTGAGGTCCTTCGGTGGGAAGTCGCTCCCCGATCCCACCTCCCTCAAGAAATTAGCCCATCTCCAGGGCCCCAAGATCTTGCAGGTATAGTTAAGTCTCAAAATGCCTTCTTTCATGCATTCACCTTGCCTTTAGCTTCGATTCTTTTCATGTGTTGGTTTTAGTGATCTGCTTACTGTGAATTTTAGGGTTTCTAGAATTTTTTTTGCTAGTTTACATGTAAAATCACCGATTTGAAGCATTTAAGTTTCTTAGATGTTGTAACTACAGACAGGAGGGGAAACGTCTGGATTGCTCATCTCTTGCATTTGATTCTATCCTGTTTAGCTGAAGCTTCTGTAGCACGTATCTGTTTTATTAACTTTCACTATTCTTTTTTGGCGATTCTGTATGGAATTTTGTGATTGCTTTTTTCTTGGCTGTGGTAATCATCATAAACAAACGTATTGTTTCTTGTTGGCTATTGAAGTTCTTTCCTTTTGTGATTTCATCCTTTGTTGAGACTTATGCTGTTACATTAAATTGAATTCCCTACAGGTAGTTTCTGTTAGGGATATATATCAAAGCAGCATCGATGGTTCATTTAAGACATCACAGCGTAATCGACGTCTCCTAAGATTTGCTCTAACGGATGGGCACAATGAAGTAATTGCAATTGAGTATTCTCCAATTTCAACTATCTCCGAAGAGATATCTCCTGGCACTAAGGTATATCTGACCACTGTAGTTTTGGCTTTTAATAAAGCTCTAAGTTGAATTATGTGTATACAAATTATGATGCAGTCTTTATGTGTATGTACAAGCTAATTTATTAACAAAAAGGTGATCCAGTGCATGGGCCTCTTGTTAGTGAATGATCCGCATCTTTCCCTTGCTTGTGGAGGTGCTGTTTCAATCTTTGTGCTGTTACAGTTACTCGATCCCATGACACCCATATTGCAAAGGAGCACCATGTCTTTGAACATTATTCTCTTAGAGATAGTTTGCATACCTGAAGTTTAAACCAATTCTTTGTCATCTTGTGGTTAAAACTGTGACAACCCACTTATTATTCAGTATGTCAAGTGCACAATCTTGTCATTTTCCACAGTACAAGATCATTGTTCTTTGTATAATGATTTGATGGCACAATAAAAAGGCTCTTCAAACATTTTTTGTTATCATTAGAAGCCAACAACTAATTATCGAAGTAGGGCTTGTATGCTCTAATTTACTGGATCCTACGCTCCTTTCTCTCCTCCCTCTACAGGCTTTGAGTTTCCTTCTGGCATGGTTGCTGAATCCCCCTAATTGGTTTAAGTATGTTATTGGTTGATGTGGTGCCGCATTCAATGCTAGATTATGCAACTTGAAGATATATTTGCCAGTTGAAAATGTGTTCCTACCAGAATAAAATTATGAGTTTCGGAATAAGAAGAGGAACTCATAGAATCTGGGCTTTGTTTCGATTGTGGGTTTGATGCTGGAGTTAGGATTTAAACTCAAGGCATCTGGCCTCTTCATGATAGTTTAAACATTGTGGGGTCTGTGGGTAATGGTTGGCTATGTGTTTGTTGAACCACATGACAGACAGGTTAAATTACACTTCTGGAATTATGGTGAGGGATAAGTAGAATTTAGCCAAATTGTAAGGTTATTCTTTGCATAAATAGCCATTGACATGTTTAGTAGACCAAGATATTTAAAACAATGTCTTAATATGGGGTAGCTCTCATAACCAATTGTGGACAACTAATAACCACAAATTTTTAAATATGATGCTCATGTCAAGTGTGCTTTGTTATTTTTAGCTAATACTGAATTGTAAAATTATCTTCATGTATATGTCCATGTGCATACAATGCAACTTCTACCCAAAATAAAGTTTAGATATGGAATATACATGTTTAAATGTGTGCAAGTATTTGTTTTAGAGACGCATGTTAAATTTTGCAGTCTACAAACCATATGAACATGTAGACTACCCTTTTGTTTTTATGATATGATTTTAGCGTTATGAAGTCAAACTGCATATATTTAAGTGGCCTACCAAATGACAGCAAACTAAGTTATAAGTTATGATACTAGTATTTATCCATCACCTAAAATGATGCTCTTGTTTGCTTCAGCCATCTCACCTTGTCGTGATTAAATCTGCCTCTAGGTTTGTCTGGAGAGCAGAATCCCAGCACACAGTGGTATATTATGTTTGAACCCCAAAGTTATAACTGTATTGGGAGGTTTAGTCCAATCTCTTCACGAAGAATGGCAAATTAGTCAGAAATTTTCAGGCTTTTCCAGAGCATCTCTCAAGTTATCCAAAAATGATGATGGCACTGGTCCTCCCCCTTTTGAGAAGTTACAGATTGAGGAATATCCAAACAAGGGTACACAGCTGCACAGACTTCATGGTGATCTTCTCCCTCAAAATTTACTTTTTTGTAAGCAAATAAAGTGTTCATTTGAGCAAAAACATTTTGTTTACCTCCTTGGTGATCAGCTTATTAGTCTTGCGTGGTTGTAGATTATTTGTTCATGCCTATATATGACCCTACTATCAGAATATTTTATAATCCAAGGAGAATTTGCCTTCTAAAGATGATAGGGAGAGAGAAAGAGAAGAAATAACTACTAATGATAATTCTGTTGCAATAAAGAAGGGCAACAATTCAACATATCTTCTAGTGCTTCCAGTCCCTTGTATCTATAGGCTATTAGTGTCATAACCTATTAATATACCATTAAGTCAACAACATAGGTGTAATTTTCAAATATCTGTTCAGCTAAGGGACTCCTATTGTCCCATTATGCTACAGTAAATGGTGCTATATCAATAACTTCCTCTTTTCCTTCCATCCAACTAAGTACACTTGGCACTGACCCCTTCTTTGTATGCTCCTGGTGTTAGTGACTCCCTCTGTGGTACAACTACTTGTCTTGAGTTTCTGGTGCACAGTCCGTGGATATTGCATAGGTTGCATGGATAGGAGGCATGTGTGATATGGTTGGTTCAAGTGTGTAGGTAGCTGGAGTATGGGGCCCAAGAGACGTAACAAGCATACGGATGGAGATAGTTGCAATTGCTGCAGATTGTAGGTGGACGTGAATGTGAGAGACTTTGTAACACAAAACCTATCCCTCTTCCTTTGGTCCCTATTCGAGTTTGATTTAAATACAAACTTGTTGCATACTCAAATAACCTAGATTTAAATTACAAGAGCTCAGGCTGATTGCAATTTCTTCACAGTGACAACTTGATCGTAATAAGGCTCTTCTTTCACCCAGTTAGTTGAATTTGCAATTACACCTTGACTAATCAGGTGAGATAGATTTGTTAGAAATAGATCCCAAACCCAATAATTATGCATAATTTTGAGGTTCTTTTTACTTGGAGAATTGTCTCCAAGAGTCGTCGTGCATTTTGTACCATTGCAGATGGTCCTTTAAACTTCTAGTGAATTTAAAAGTCCAAAGATACCCAAGATTGATCTAGTCCGATGTTTGAGACCTAATAAGATACACGAGATTGATAATGTAGTAGATAAAATAAAAGGGGAAGAGAGGAAGAGATAAACATAATCCACTTCAAGAAAGAATGTCATTGAATAAAATCACCAATAAATTTTCATGAATATATTACTTTAGTTAAGGTTTTTATGAATCACTATAATCCTTTATCAGTGAAATGAAGGCTTGGTAATACAGTTTCAGATTCTCTTAACTTTGAGAGATCATCATCCGTATGTGGAATTAGGAAGTATGGATAAGTGTATGGAAAAAATAATCTACAAGCTTCATACTCTGCAGACCCTAAACCAGTGGGAGCCTTGTACATTGGGCTACCTTTGTTTTTATCGTCCTCCTACATTGTTATTATTTATTTATTCCAGATGACTACTAATATTTGACTAAGCTCTTTTTGCACATTACTACACTACACAGTTTTTTGGGTAACTGCTCCATAATCACTCATATTATTCAGTGCATGCTTTTTCAAATTTTCTTTTTGTGATCTTTATCTGTGTTATGTAACTTTGTCTTCTCTCCTAGTTCTTTGGCAAACTTTATTGGCCTAATAGTTCAGGAGGATATAACGACATCTAAGGCACATTTCTCTTTCTGAAGAACCAAGGGCAGACAAGTCATAAATTGTGTCATTTTCATTTTGGTTTGTCCAAATTGTGCTCCTCTATTGAAGGTTGCAAAGCATGGGTTACTGTGATCAATCTCAATTATAGAAATCCTTGGTCAACCACCAATTTTCTAATGAAACTCTATATATTTGGTATATATCATGCCATCATTACCCTTTTGCTTTATGAAGGCTGATAGTATGCTCATGAATGAATTAATCTTCTGAAACTCTTACATGTTCCACCTATGTCTAGCGCGTGGACGGTTGGATTAAGTGCCATGACTAAAATGTAGTCCAGCTTCTAAGCAGTTCTGCAGAAACCGAGTGTATGCATTTTAATGCTCTCTAAAGTCTCTTCTGATGCTATTGCAGGAACTAATGATAGAAAAACACAAGGAGATCAAAGTCGTTTGATTGATAAAAGGGATCCTAGAGATGCAAAAGTGAATAAAATTGCAGATAATCCGGAAACAGATGGTGCTGAGGATAAACCTGCTAGCTCAGAAGCCAGACCAAAAGAAGGTAAATGATGGCTTCTCTGTCATGATTTGACAGTGAGATATGTCAACCTTAAATTCTAATTATATCGTCACCGCAGTGAGTGAAGCTGTTCCAGTTCAAAATCAAGCTGCTGCACAGAAACTTCTGCAGAAAATGAGTCAACCTGCTCACAAAGAAATGCATTCTAGAGTTCACAAACACAAATTTAAGGCCAAACAGGAGGAAGCCGTGGTCTTCACTTTAGATGAATGGGAAAGGACAAAAGGGATGAAGTTGAAGCCCATGGTGACTGGTGAAAAGCAAGATACTAGCTGTGATGAGGAGCTTGCTCGACAGCTACAAAATCAATTAGATTTAGAGGATTTTAATGTGAGTTCTTAATTTTCTTTTTTCTTTTCTACAAGGCTGGGCAGGTACTAATTTCCAAATTTTCAGGCAAGCACTGGACATTCAGAAGCTGAGCAGATTAGGAGGAGTATGTTTAGCTTTGGTGGTGCTGAAGAGAGGAAGACTGATGGTAGAGGTGAGTTCAGAGGACGGGGAAGAGGAAGAGGCAGGGGAAAAAGAAGATTTGGTTAACCTCCCATTTTATAATTTTACTCTGCTGGGACAGATGGTTTTTGCGCTTATAATTTTCTTCACATCCACTGTGATTACTACACATCAACAGTTCTCAAGAGCCATGGAATATTTTTATCATTATCTTATGAGGAGGTCAACATCTCCTTGGTGACTTAAATCTCAACTGACAACGTGGCTGCCTCATCTGCTTCCTAATTGTGATAACGTGGAAGTTTTCGGATGTCTTGAAATTTTCAGTTGGCAATAAGGTATTTCTTTGCACCACCACATGTTTTTGAGGTTAGTTAGCTCCAGCCAGTTTTTTAGCAAATAGACTTTAAAACAAATTGGATAGATTTTGACTGGAAAATGCTAGACATGCACATAAGCAAATAATAAAGTTTTGGCTAAGTAATGTTTGTGATTAGTCAAAGCTTATTATTTGTATTCCATGAGAAAAAGGATATTAGCAATATGTATGTAAGTACGTAAGTTTGTCAACCTTCTGAGAAAATGAACGGGTCCGTTTATCAAAGTAGAGAAACATTTGTCAATTTATCAACATCATCTTTTTTTGTTTCAATTTTCTCGACTCTAATGCCAGGGAAATGTTATTGTTGTTCCCTGATTGTGATTATTCACAAAACTGCCATGTTGTATGAGGTCTGCAAGAAGTAGGCTCAATTGTTTTGACGGTATGGTTGTGAGGACAAGACCGTATTTATATTGATCATCATTAAACTCTTATGATGGAAGACTCAGCCACCTCTTTCTCGATCAGTTGCTTGCTTGTTTGTATCATAATTTTATCATAATGGGTTGTGCATGTGTGTGTGCGCGTGCACCCGCATGTATGTACATGTATATGTATACGTGTGTGTATACATATACATAGTGCTGTTTCAGTTTACCAAGTCTCTAAATATTGTTTTTCAATTAGATGTTACAGCTGTCGTTGTTGATGTCAATTATGCCAATGAATACAGGTTCATATGGCACTTTCAAGTTAATGGGGCTGCAAACAACCAAATGGCCTATGTTATATGTGGAGAGTGGTTTGTTGAAATGTAACTGGTTGACTTTTATTATAGGAAGGAAGCTGATAATTGGAGATACAGATCTGTTTGTTTCCCAATTAAGCTTAATCTCATGAAGTAAGCTTCCCTGTCTTGTGATTGTTCTTGTGATTTGTATGAAAAAGGATGCTTATGTATGATTCTTGTGATTTGTCGTCTTACCTTTAGAATGATCATAGAAAATCTTTTGAGAACACTAATTTATATTCCTCGATTATATTTCATGATTGAGACCGTGACTGAATCCCGTGAAATCATTTCATGGAAATTCATTGATATTTTTTTTTAAGCTAAAGCACTGAATGGATCACCACAGTCGGTGGCTATTATCCATCGTATATGGCTATGACTTCCGGGATTTAATCGTATTTGCTTTCCGAGTTATAGTATCTCGGTGCTTCTATCATTGTTGTTATTTTAGATCTGTATTTATCATTGAAGCTCCACTGGAAATTTCCTGTCTCTACTACCCCGTCCATGCTTGAGCCATGGTGTTGGATCTCAGACGGTCTTCAACACCTACTACCTTCATGGTGTTGGAGTTGCTGATACTTTTCTCATGCACTGGAAATCTCATAATATGAGCACTAGTGCTCTCTTCATGTGATGCCATTAAACCCTCAAATTCTTTTGTACGTCTTCCACCGTAAAATACTCTTTGAGGCCTCTCCCCTGTCTGCCACTCTGCTGTCCAGAAATGTCAGAAGAAATGGATGATGTGGAACAGCCTCGCCTGTCATGTTTCCATTGGCATCTCATAGTGATGACTACTTGATGACTTCTGTTGCATACTTACCATATCAGCTTTATGTCACTTTGATCCAATCGTATGCACTCTATGCCGTTCCTGTCATCAAGCATGACTCCTCATATCGATTCGTAACCCCGAGCTTTAGTCTCCCTCCCGTGTACGATTCTAATGTTATCGTTATCTTTATCGCATGATCAAGCATCGATCACTTTTCTGTGCCACACATGCTCCAAAATCTATCTTGTTTTCTCGAGGAATCATAGTAAACCATTCATTTAAGTGCTGCGATCTTGGACTTCGAGAGTTTAGATCAGCACATGACCGGCTGGGTAATGCATGTGATGGATAGAGCTACTTCCTCTCTCATGTGGTAACTTCTTGGAGAGGCTGTATACAAATAACATTTGGACCCAACATGATTCCTGCTGTCTCTCGGATATCAACTCCAGATATAGCTTAGAATATGACCAGATCTGCTAGTTGACGTCCTACTTGAATCGGATTCATCACTGGGCGTAGAGCGAAGCATCCATCCGTCGACACCTGAAACATGACGCTGAGGCTTCTGCTCTCCGCCGCTGCTCTGCCCCTCGTCGCCGCCTTCCTCGTCGTCGTCTGCGGGAATGGCATAGCGGAGGCGGAGGCGGAGGCGGGGTGCCGAGTCGAGCTGCCTGACTACGTCTCGGACTCGTGCTCCGCCGCCGACGCCGTGTTCGAGGCCTTCAGCGTCTGCTGCGAGTTCCTCCGCCGGGCTCGGTCGCCGTGTCTGCGTTCGCATCTGCATGCTGCGGTGTCGGTGGGCGCCGACGAGGACCTGTTGAGAGAGTGCTACGGAGCGTAGCCATGAAGAGTGCGATCTCTAAGAAAGGTAAGAGATTGCATCGACCAGTGTTTGATTCGAGTTGCCACCACAGCGTCGGCTTCTGATGGCGGTGTTAAAATGCTTAGAAAATTGTTTGCGACTGTCGGTGAATTAAAAGTATTTTCGCATCAATTGTACGGTGATAGATCTTTCAGATTCTGTAGAGGGTTGGTCACATTAGCACCAAATCTTATGAATATTCTCTTGACAATGTAAATACGATGAACGGGTCTTTTCACGAACTCGGAGCTTCGTAAGATGAGATATGCCCCCGACAAATTACCTCAATCAAATCCGCGATCTTACTTGAGAAGAGTAACGGGAAGCGAGTGACGAGCTCACATGCGTTCGTGTCTTCAAGATGGGTCGTTCAATCTCGTGACATGGATCGTACGTTTCTCTCCGAATATTGAAATAGTGAAATATCGAGTTAATTATTTGAATCTCATGTAGTTAGATCTAAATTTATATTAGAATTTGTATAATTATGAAAATAAAATATCTAACTTCATTAATCTTAACATTATCGATTTTATCGACGGAAGCTCGAAAATAATGGATAAAAATATAATCTTAATATTCCAGTTAATGATAACGAATGACGTTGATAGTGACAAACGACGACACCATTGAGAGCCACGAATGATTATTGTGTATAAGGAGAACAACAATGAGAGGTGAGGGTCACTTTATTTACATTGATGTCGATGCAATTGCCAAGCAACCCTTTTGTCGCTCTAGATTTGTGTCAATGTCGATGCACATATAGAACAATCCTCATCTCTCGTCAACGCTCTCCTGATCATTGAACTAGATATTTCACTTTAATAACTATAAGGATTTCAATGTAAATTTTTAAAATCTAAATATCGAGATTCTAATAAGATCTAACTATAGAAGATAATTTACAATTAGCCTTAAAATATCCTCCACGATTCAAATGATATATGAGTGATTTAGAGAAAGAATCGACCATCCCTTTTCTTTAATTTTTTATGTGCTGATCTTTCATAACTATTTTTTGACATAATATAATTATATATTTTTATTTTTGAAAAAATAATATCTTTTTTTTATTCAAAGTCTCTTTCTTCTCCATTCTGCACTTATATGTTGCCTTAGCAATTCCACCATTCTTAATCCAAGTATACATACGATAACATCATGTGATTTACCAATATCATAAATATTATAATATTATATATATTAGTTTTTTTTATAATTATAGTTCTTGAGACCATTGATCACTCAATAAAAATATTTATGAATAAATATATACGTAACTATCTTTTCTAGATATTTACTATGAAAGATTTTGTTTGACTCGAAATATTATTTAATCCTCCGATTAGAACTAAGATAAGTAAAAAGGTAAAATAAATTAAAGAATGAGTTATAAATAAGAATATGAAGGCTTGCGAACCTTTATCTTAGGCGTATTCCTTATGGAGAAATCGTTCAAGATATATCAAAAACCTAAGGGCATATTTCTTACTAAGAAATCATTCAAGATATATCAACGACTTAATGCTTCAGCTAGGCATCTCGAAAAGCATATATATAAGTACGCAAAGAAAGTAATCATCTGGATTCATACACATAGTGCACAAGGCAAGACGACATACACTGGAGGAGAAATAGGCGCGTGATTCACATGGTGTGGTAATTAAATATAAGAAAAAAAATAAGTTTCTTATTTTTTTTTTAAAGCTCTAGTAATCTCTCACAAATTATAATTTTATTTCAAAATAAAAATGATTAAAAAATAAAAAGTTGCTATTGATGCATCTATTGTGTGGCACTAAGATGTTTTTTTTTTAAGATTTAACCTTATTCGACGAAATAAGCATTTTTCGGATGAAATTCGTGAGAACCAATTAAAGATTCTTCTTTGAAAAAAAAATTCAGAAAATTTAAAAGAAGTGAAAAGGTTGGATGGGTATCAAATGAAAACTAGCACTGCTAAGAAAGATTCATGAAAACCTAGTTTCCAATCTTAACCATGAACAGGAACTATCAATTTGATCCCACCTCCTTCTTCAACTGAGCATACGATTAAGTCGTGACTAAATGCAACTTAATTCCCTGAAATTTCAATGCATGTCCAAAAGCCCACAAAAGACTGAGCTGCTCAAATTAATCTCAATTTGGTCGGTTCTGATTTGATTCGATTTTTCTTGGATCAGTTTGATTTTTTTTATTTTTCTGAAAGTGTACCAAAACCGGTTGGGAATTTTGATTCGATTTTTCGAGCATATATTTCCGTGATGGTATGATTGGAATTTTTTCTTGCCCTAAGAACATAAAACGTCGTTAAATCTAAAAGAAAAAGCTTGAGATCAAATATTATTTTTTAATTATTTTTTATTTAATTTTATTTCCACTGGATAGAAATGGTCCCTGAATTTAATATTTAATTTTTAATATTTAATTTTTTTTCTTCATCGAGAATCACATTCATATTTCTTTTTTTTCCTTTCATCTTGATGAATCAGACGGTGATAGTGGAGAGAGAGAGAGAGAGAGAGAGGTAGTCATGTCAGCGAGTTTGCTTACGTCCACGCGAGAAGCACGTGCAAGTTCCGAATTCTGCGGAGTCCCTGACACGACTCCTTTGGGGGCTTCTCCGACAAGCTTGCGCGCCACGTACACAACCCAAGCCAAAGCCTGACGGCCGCTAGCGTACGGCTAAAACCCTCGAAAATTACCGCACAGGGGCAAAAGGTCGAACACCCGTGCGACATGTCGGCGGACGCATCGCTGGCGTCCAGGACCAACAACAGCCTGGCCTTCTTCTTCCTCATCCGATCACTGCAGCAGCCATCACCAAACACAAGCAGCAGTTTCAAGTTGCAAACAATAATCCGCGATGATTAATTACATAAGGCAC